CTTACATCAAATTCAATATGTCATTACATTAGACCTACATATAATGGTCTTCTTCTAATGCGGGGCACGAAGCTACCTTCTAAATCCAAACGTTTAATGATAAAGGTTCGTGTCACTGTTTTAGTGAATCGGAGTAATCTCTCTTAGGAAATCAAAGTTTCACATAGATACTTTCACCAGTTTGATTTCTAGCGCACTCGGGCACAAATAACAAGTTTCACTACAGATATAGCTTTACATTGATGGTTGCAAATCGATCGACGTAGATTGAAAGCCCCGAATGACGCGTGATTATACTTATTTGAATGAAGTCTAGCCTATGACTATAGTTTGCATGAATAAAATTTGACCAGATTACAGTATCGAGAGAAAGAAATGTGGACCAATTGCTATTACTTTTCAACAGATGATGAGATTTCCTTTTTAATTTCGATAATCAAGTAGAATGACATTTTTGCAACAATAACTTATCAAAAATTGTATATCAGAAATTCTGAAAAGGAAATAAAAAGAAGAAGGAAAAAGGGTGTGTATGTGTTTGTGTGTGTGTGAAACCTCTGTGAGGGTAAACTATACATTAAAATACAATCCTTTGATATCATTGGCAGGGTGGTAACCGCTTTGAAGATTTCGATTAAGGAAATTTTGAAATTCAAATAGTTCTTCGAAACCGATACTTCTTCTTCTCTTCTTTTTCTTTTAATTTTCTTTTTACTCTTCTTCTTTTTCTTCCTTTTATTTTATTTTGCGTTGAAACAATTTTTTACTATATAATTTTATTTATCATATACACTTTGTATGTTTACTCCAGGCTGTCTATTCATTATTTGTGCGGGTTTAGGTTAGCTGCAAATTAGTGCTGCCGGGGTATTCCCATCCATCTCGATAACCCTCATTTCATGTGGATCTAGAGTATCGTGCGCACTTACCAATTCTCAGTCCCACCGCTTCAATCTCATGGGAGTATCATCAAAAGCTTCACCGCGTCTTTCAAACGACAATTCATACCATCTTAGCCGAGGGAAAAATGTCGAAACCATCCTATACTCCATCTTAAAATTCAAGTTTTTTATTTTAAACTTCGGGCTATATCATGAAGACTCTGAGTATGTTTTGTGTGTGCGTGTGTGATCTGATGTTGGGTTTGTTTATTATTTTTTTTCCGGGATGGGGTGTTCGTTATTCTTTTCGTTAGTTTTTGTTCCTATTTGGTGTCATTTCAATACTTCACATGGCGATCATGTCGTATATTGCCTTCATGCATGCGTGGTAGAAGGTTCGGTCTGAGAGGTAGTTTATTAAGTTTGTAACACTTCTGTTTATTTTCTAATATCTCGCGAATATTAAGCTGATAATCCTTTACTCTGAATGTATATTCCATGATAATGCGAGATAAATAAACAACGTGTCTCGAGATTGTCACACTTCTCATTCCTCTGATTAGTTTGTGATGTTATTGAGATGAGAATGCTGTACCATTGGATCTGGATGTGATGTTCAGTGTCTCGACCTGGTGAACTCAACATGGCTACAGATTTGCTGTACCACAGCAACACACCTTCAACCATCTACTTATTGACTTGTGCTGTACACTATAGTATGAAGCTGATATATCATTTTGTTTCGCTCCCAATTTCACGTCTTCACACTTGCCTTCCTCACGATCAATCACACCGCTAGCTTGCCTGTCGCACTTATCATAACAAGACTTGTAAAAAGCAATCGATGCATTGATCTACATTTGCCACACTCACCCAGGTGAAGTAAATGGGTACCTGGTAGGAATTTATTCCTTGAAACGCAGCTCGCGTAACAGCTGCACTGCTAAAGCCAGGGTAATTTTGCTGCATTATTGTAGAGCGCTTAGAGACTTTTGACAAAGTAAGTGTTAGGCGCTATATAAGCACTGTAATTATTATTATTATTATTAGTTTGGTTTCGTGAGCATTCTACTCTTACAACCCGCTCTCATTATTATGTAGGAGAGATGTTAAGAAACGAGATGATGGAATAGTAAGAAGAATGTAAATGTTCAGAATTGATTGTGCGCTGATGTTAGACGTAAATGAATTATTACTAAACTTTTAGAATTTTATTCCCTTTTATGCGACGTTACGCCGTTTTTTGTTTTTCCATTTGCATTCGAGTATGATGAGCTGAGGCTAGGTTTTGTTAGTTGCTGGAAACTATTTTAAACCTTGAATATAATTAGTAGTAATGTCTACCACTTAGGATCCAAGGGTACGCCCATACGTTTGATGTAAGATTATCGCAATACTAGTCATTTTTAAATGTATTTTCCAAACGTTATCATACCAGGGAAACTCTCTCCCGTTCTTGTTTTTAGAATTGTACAGCAAATATGATATTAAGATGACCTAGAAAATGATTTGTTGCCTCATTGTGCTTTTCTTGCTTTCAGTGGACTTGGTAGGAGCCACAGTTATCAACTGACATTTGAACTGGATGCACGTTGGTCATTTTTATTGAAATGGTGGTGCCACATCATTGCATCCAATGCGTCGTCAGGCACTTCCCGTGAATATATGCCAGAAACTTCTACTTAAAAACTGACTCGAACAAAACGTTAAACTCGAAAAGGATTTCCATTGTACATCCTTGGCAGTTTTTGGCTACAACAAAGTGTCTGGACTTCCCTTTAACCTGAAGCTAAAGTATAGAAGAAGTTGTCTTCCCATATTAACATCAACGCCCATGCACTCCTTAATCATACCAAACATTTATATAGATAATGCAGAGGACATGACCCTCGTATGTCGTTATACATGCATTATTGCCGGACATCAAGGGTTTTAATGGAAGGCACGCAGAGACATCCGACATTGTTAAATGACTCTTCAAAGCCATCATAGGTTACACCTGATCTTGATTATACATTATATGCACCCGTGTGTTGAATGCTGAAGGCTGGAACGCCACTAGAGTTCTAATCAGAATACCCATTATCTTTAAATATACCTTTCTTAAATACAAATTATTGAAAGATTAAATTATAAAAAACAAATATTCTTATTTACAAAGAGACAGATGCGGGGGAAAACACTTTTCTATACTATATTGTGTTCACAGATAATGTTGAAAAGGAAATTGTTATTCTTGGTTTTGGAGGAGGAGGATTGTGAATTATGTATCTATTCTTATTTTATATTATCATAGTATTGATGTTCTACTGTTTCAACATAATTGTATGTGTATGTCGTGAATCCAATATTAAACTGTAATGAAAACATGTTTCTAAATGTGAATCCCAAGCAACATAAGCTAATTAAGTTATGTCTTATCATTAACAGTCATGAACTTGTACAACAATATGAAGTAGTTGTTTCGATTGGTGAACCCTTTTTGCAAATATGTGTACATGAAATCGTGTCAATTTCAAATTTCATCGTCACAGCTTGTGTCAAATGTGGTAAACTTTTGTTCATTTGAATTCGATAATATATATGCAGGACTTAAACGTGTTATGTTGAAACCGTAGTGCAACAAGACTATGAATAAACATCTTCATATCAGGTGAATCATTATGCTTGCTTGTTTATACTGGCATCACCCCTCGGAACATTATACCTTTAGGTTGAACAAGTATCAGTTGAATAAAATACGTAATCGAACGCGCTCAGTGAAAGTTCATATTGCACCTTTAAAGATGAAGTTGAGTTCTGGTCATGCGATTGCATTGTGAAAGAAACGGTGTGGAATCGACCAGAAAAGGTTGATCATCTAGCATATAAGAATTTGTGTGTATTGCAAGGTTCTAGAATCATCAAAATGATAAGAAATTTGGCCAAGTCTTGGTAAAGTTACAAACACTGTACACAGAAAGATGTATATGGGACTACACGAACACGTGGCGTAAAAAACCTACCCCCCGAGTTTTACGATGTTACTGACATATTTAGAATATAAAGGCATTTGAAGAGCCATGCTTTTCAGGGAACATGTCTTATCTGATGATCTTCCACACTTGCATAACAAGAATTATTACGCTCACAAATTATTTTTCACCTCTTCCCAAAACTCAACCTTCTCTTTAAGGGGAATTCTTCGACGAAAAAAAGCAATTGAATATACATGGGGATGAAGAAGCAGGCATTGCGCTGCACAAGCAGGCGTGACATTGCGGTCAACAAGATGTGCCTTCAATCCTATGATCTTCTGGCCTGCAATAGGTCACATAAGAGGGCGCGCTTCAAGTGGCTTGGGTATTTCTTCTGAGACTTTCCGAGCAGGGTAGCTCTTGAAACAAGGCACGTGCGATCACGAGGGTCGCATTACCAACCAATTAACATCCTCCAGCCGAACGATTTGCATTGGAGTGTCCACGTATTTGGGCGCGTGAGCCGAATCCATTTCGGGGTTAAAACGCTCTCGAGAACAATGTCAACATGTTGCCATGGTCCCCTGCTAAATTGGCATCTGACAAAAAAAAAAAAAAGAAGGCTAAAAAGGCCAGGCTCGAAGGTAACCTGGAATTCAGATTCTTGACCGAGGACCAAAGACAGCTTTTCAGAAATCAGTCGCTTTTTATTGATAGGCATATTCTTGCCCCGTGTAACAGCTGGTGATTTAGCCATTACACATATGACAAACATCAAACAAAGCATTTTTCTATTAAGTGAAAATTAATTTATTCTCGTGGATGAAAAATCTATATTTGTGCTTGAATCGCAAGGGAGAGAATAGAAGGGGAATAACTCGATGATTCAATCAAACTGTTTGTAAAGGGACTTAGTCGACCAAGGAAAGGCTATAGGGATCTTGAAGGCACCAATGTCAAAACGAACAATAGACACGTATGCGGAAGTTGATACCTTCCTCATATGTCGTTCTTTATTAGTTGGTCTGTTTAGTTTGACACGTAATCCCTGTTGTCTCCTGTCTCTCATCAATATGATGAGCTCCTTTCATCAGGCGATAATTCTCTTCTTCCTCGTTTTCACCCCGTTTTCACCTCTACCCCTCTCTCTCTTTCTGCTCAGATCACTGATGGAAGTTGGAGTCGTTCTACGCACCGGACTAGTCAACTTGTTGGTATTCAACCTTGATTTCATATTTGCTACACTACACAAGGTCAGTGTGATCATGAACCTGATGCCGAAGTCTTACCTGTCACCATATGTAGTCCTCGGATATGATAGAAGGGGGTCAAGAGCAAGAGGATGGATGAAGATGGCTAACAAAACGACAGAAGAAGGTAAATTTGGCCCTGAATTCATACATAACCATTTTTCACATAAATCATGTTACCACTGTTGATGCTTCTAAAAGATATAGGGTCTACTGTGTACATATCGTTGCGTTTTGCGCAATATGATACAAATACAAATTGACTGCAATAACTGCAATCTGTTTTGTAGCAATTATAACTCCCTACACCCAACAATGGATGAAGAATTCAAATGCATGCATTACATTTGCATTGTAAATTAGCTTTGGATTATACGACTGTATAAGTTAGAGCTATTAATGAAGATTGATTCCTGATCGTATTGCAATCAAAATTAATGAGCAAATCAAAGCAAAGCAAATTTAATATTCTTCTATAATTGCATTTACTTAACTGATATCTAAATTTGCTGGTTGAAAAGCAATAGCAAGGTCTCCAAGTGATTCGAAGTGATCTCTAACTGTGAATGGTTATAAGGCAATGGCACATCGTTGTCTGAAGATGCTCAGCTCCCCCCTCCCTTGCTTTCCTCCGTCCCAGTTTAATGTGAGGACATCTCCTCCTTTATTGCGTCGTTCCATCCCTAAAGAGATTTGGCCTCCCTGACTAATATAGATTCTGGAATGATCGAGCCGCTTATATAGAGTTATCAAATGGGTTTGGCCTCTCCATGCTATTGAACCAAGAGTAGAATCATCTGAATCCGAACCGTAGTAGGATCCCTTATGGGTAGGATAGTAGCCCAATAATTACGACCATTAAACGAAAAAAATGCATTAACTTTCTTTCATAGTTTTAAATAGGTAATTTCTAAAAATGTAAACATTAGTTGCATACAAAGAGGTATAAATTATTGTTACACGTTATTACGACAGAGGACGTAATTCTGTTTATTTCCTGTAAGTCTTTACATCAGCTATCATTTTATACGTACCTGCAGCTTTGTGCAAGCCTCCTTATCTCCCTGTCATTTCCGATAAATCGTCCTAATACACAGGATCCGACAAATCAACCCTCGGATTGTATATGTCTCTCTTTTTTGTTTTATTCTACACGATATCCATTAGCATCCATCATGCTGTATAATGTAAGAGGCCACCTTGTTCTGGTTTGTATGCCTCCTTCGACTGTCGTGAACCTTAGATAATATACGTCCTATACACCGACATGCTGGCAATATGGTAATCATCAGGAAGTTTGAAAGGAGAATATAAAAATGGCTAAAGAAATATGTAGCTTGTATATCTACGGTAATGACCTAGTAAAGAATGAATATATCCTGTATCTATTATGAGCATTACCATTTCGATTCATCGTACAGTGAAATGGTATACGCCTAGTGCCACATGTAATGTCGATCTCTTAAAAGCCAGATTGATAATTTACGCAGTGCAATGTGAGTACCTCCTGTTTACGTTTTATACTGCAAAAACGGAGGAGACTTCCCGAAACCTGCTGCTGTGAACAGGATATCAAAGGGTATTCTATGCTTTGCACTTCCAGGAAAACAGGATGTGATAGTTTGCATGATGGAGGTGATATAGCAGGTCTTGTTTAAGGGGAACATCGCTACTATTTTGTTGTTTCAAGGGAGGCGTATCGTAAAGCATATACAGTCAAACCTGCCTTAGTGGCCACCTCTCTATACAGACCACCCGTCTAAAGTGGCCATGTATTTTGTCTACCTCGAGAAAGAAATGTATGTTGCAGAACCTGTCGAGAAAGGCCATCTGTCTTCAGTGGCCACTTTCTCTGTATCCCTAGTAATAGTAATAGTACACCGTAGAATGACACTAAGCTGTGAGCCAATTTTAAATCTTTAAGATTACAGTTTCTTTCTTTGTGTTCGGACCATCTGCCGCTGGTGTATACATTGCAAAAATATGAGATTATAAGACCTACTATAAGCATTGTAAAATTATATTTGAATATCAGCAGATTTGCATATTTCTTTTTAAATGGCAATTCGAGATCTTGGTTTTCCAAATATAATTTGTAGATGTTTCATGAAAACATTTGCAGGAAGAGACTAATGATGTAGGAGGCATGTCATATTTTTAAGTTTTGGTTGTTTTGAAAGGAGCATTATTCGGAGTAGTGTCGAGACATATTTACTGCTCGAATAGTCGAGTTGTTGTCGAAATGGTAGTGCCAAGTAACTGCATCAAAGTTAATGTATGCAAGCAGATTAACTGCTTCGTTATCAGTAAACATTTGTCCGTCTTTATTATATTATCCAAAAAATCTGAAGTGAAAAAATGTGTATTGTAAATGACAGCATAGCTTGAAATGTAATTTTAAGTCCATTGCAAAGGATAGAAAGCAGCTTGATATCCTCTCCCAACCTAATTCCAACCTTATATCCTACTGATTGTGTAATTTGATATATACGGATTTCAAATTAAATTGTGTAGGCAGTCGCTGAGGAAAAGATGAAGAAAACAATTGGGAATTTAAAAACTACATACGTATGAATCATCCATTTAAAGAGATGTATCCTTGGATCTTGAATAAGATTCTAAATGGCACCACCGTGTTCAGGTGGTGGGTGCATGCTTGGAACAGGGGCAGGTGCATTGGAAGTTTTAATAGGGGGCATCGGTGTATGACCAATCTTTCACTCTGAATCATTTTACCGCACTCGTAAAAGTTACCTTTTTTATCAAATGAGCCTTGATGGACAGAATCAATGCATGATCTTCAAGATATCATGTCTGTGCCGATTAACTCCTTTGATGGTAGAGAGAGAGACTGATAAACGAGAAAGGACAGTTGTATTTTATAGGAAGATTGAAGCTATCATGTGTGATATCTGATTGATTGATTGATTGATTGATTTTAGCAGATGCTACAACCTATAGTCACTGTCCATTTCAATAACAAATATCGCTTTTCAGAGTTTACATGCAAAAGGGTAACGTACAATCAGTCATTATGATATTCATCACAATAGTCAAATAATAAGAAAATACTTTTTAAAACACAATTCCTAGTACCATTCATCTCGCACAATCATACTTCAACTCCTGTAGGAGGGAAAACCCATCAGCTTTTCTTTCTCTCTGGAATACCAAAGGGGTTTGTTGAATACATTAAGCTTCTTTGGAATTACCAGTTGTTCCAATTACCTTCAATTAAGAAATTCACGACCATTTATCTATGGGGATCTTGATATCCAGTTCCATCGTGGGAATAACCGTGGCGTCATTTACTTACAGTTGTCTGCTTCATACGATGAGTCTTTCTCCAAATGCATTCTATATGCCCTTCGGCTCGGGATAATGCTGGTAAAAGCAACACCAGTCACTTTGGCGGCACAACAGAAGGGTCCCCTCTTTAGGAGGAGAAAAAAAATCTCAAGCGTATACGCTGTCGACCAGGAAATAAAATTGATGGTTTAGAGAGGGCTTGGGAAGCAGCCTCAAGTAGTCAATGTATGATCTGGGGTAAGATAGCGATTCAAAATGGCGCTAATGTCCTCTTGTTTTAGTGGAGAGAAAAAAACAATTCATCCACCTACAAGGCAGACACTGAAGAGGGTGTTTGAGTTTTGTGCAGTTAGGTAAATGAGGAATTGGTTTCCATTGTTTCTCACGTACGTATAGATGAAAATCTTACCGAAAAGTCATTATTTCATTGGTTATTCAATAACATAATATCTTAATTTTGCATGTTCTATATATATATATATATGTAAGTTTTATATTGACTTTTTTTCGCGAGACATCCTTCCTATTCATTGGGCCACTTTTTAAAGAAATTTGTGTGAGGTTTTTTTAATAGATATTTTGAGAAAAAAATGTGTTTAAAATGGATGTCGGGGAGTTCGATTTGCGAGATTAATGAAGTTGAATTTTCTTTACTTGTGGGTTTATTTTTTATCAATGTAGAGGACTTGTTTTCATTCTCGTTTTTTTCCATTGAGTCTAATAATTTGTCGAGTTTGACGGTAGGCTCTTGGGACTCCGTCATCATTCACTGATTATACTCACTTCATTGCGGTGAGTGTTGGGGAGTGTGTGAGGGAATGGTGCCCCCCTCAAGGCACCGTTTATCACCCCTTTCCCAAGAGATCCCACCAAATACCAAGCCCTCAACGCCGCACTGTGGTGTTCGCTCGTAATACATTCACGATAGAATAGTACGATGACTTGGAGGAGCTGTTCGTTCATCGCTTCAGATCAGTATCAACTCAGGTATCATGGCGAAGTTGTTATAAAATGAGGTTCCTCGCTTGCGGTGTCAATCTTCTCATGCAGAAAGTCATCAAAATGGTTTGGGAATGTGTACCTTGCTGTATAGCGACTGCAAGGTCAGGTGTATTGTTAGTTGTAACAGAGTGCGCACCGGGAGACCCGCTGACCTTCCCTCTCATGACTGGTTCGTACAGATTGAAGAGAGAAAGCAGCCGACCTTATTGTATTGATGACACACTCATTTCATTACGACAAATTGACAGCGAAAAGCGCGCGCATTTGGGAGTCGGCTCTTTACGCTTGACATGTCGTGTTGCCTATATCTTTGCCTCTCTGATCTCTCTCATGGGTAGAAGCAGTTGTCTGCCAGGGAAAGGTCCGTGCTACGATATATCACCCAAGGCGCGTGCGTGCATGCATGGAGCAGTGTACATATATATATTCATTCCTCTCTCACCCCCACTCTCATCGCATTGCCTGGATTACAAGGCAACGTGGGAACACTTAGCCGCAGTCCGCCCGCAGTCCCCCGCTGTAACATGAACAGATCGAGAACAAGTGACCCCGTACACGCCGTTATTCGCACGCGTATATCCTTTGTGTAGGCAATGCTTCACGATGCCATGCCCATCCCATACCAGCAACGAATTCTGTGCTCTGAAATTGGCGGGAGTATTGCAGCTTAAATGATGGTATGTACATTGAAGCAGCCGATTTACATCCTATTTCTTTCATCATCTACTTCATAGCTGAATAGTACTGAATATACGAAAGAGTTTGAGAAAACTGTTAATTCTGTCCAGACGTGATACGTGGCTAGATTGTTATAGGAGCCTCGCTGCCTTTTCATGGTCTGTGTACACAGCTCGGATGCGGCGGGAAGTATTTTACCACGCAAGTCGCTGTACATCAAGTCTTCTGCTATTCTACATTGACCTGTAGTAGCACAAACTTTACTGTGGTCGTTGAGCTTCATTATTGAGATAAGCAGGTGGTATGGTTGGGTAGGAAAATTGTGTGAAGCTGAAATATAAATGAATTGTTGATACCCCAATGATCACAATGATGTGAGGTAGAGGTAAGATTTCAGTGCGAGGTTGTCTGGTGTAGTTCCGCTGATAATTGTTAACGGTTTCGCGTGGGTGGGGGATGAAAATTAGATTTCATTGTGCTAGAATATTCTATAGTAAATTCTCCATTGTGTATAGTTTGATTCAATTTGAAGAAAAAATTCAAGTAATGTTTGTCATTTACGACTGAATAACCTCGTGTTTGCTATTCCTACATCTAATACGATTTTAAACAGTTTGTTTATTCGGCACGTTCGAGCTTTCTGGAGTTCGAGCCTTGCTCTCCTTTTCACATACGCGCAGCTGCTGAAGTTGAAAAAATGAAGCTCCTTTTGTAATAGAATGTTTACGTGTAAAATCTTTCATTTCGGATCCTCATGAATCTAAGAATGTTTCTTAATGAAATGAGAACAATGATTTAACATGAATATTACGTATAGTGGCATGCATACTGCATAGGGAGTATTTTGTGTGTAAGTGTGTGAAAGATCAGGTGATAAAGTTGTGATTATTATCGTATACTCTGTACGCCCAACTGCCCGCCATGATGATTTGTAAATCTTTCCGTCTTCCTGGTATTTGTTTCATCTGACCACGATTATATACGAGCTTCCCGCTTCCTGTACTTATTTCCTGTGATGTATGGAATGACTGCTTTGAATACTTCCCCAAGTTCTGTCAATCATGCACAAACATTGTTGATGTGCGATGTAAATATGCACGTGGAATTTTGAAACATGTGCAATGTAAATCATGTCATTAATCCATAATTATATTCATGGATAATTATTGTAGTAATGTCTGTGTTTGTCGTAAATATTTTCCATGTGGATATTCTGTGCATGTCATTGGTGTGAATCAGCTTACTTTTGATACTCACCTCGCCAGTATTTCCTTATCATGAATCAATGGATATGGACAATACTGAAGGCCAGTTGTCTCAAATCCTGCTTACAAGTCAGGGACGTGGGCTTACTACTATACGGTATCATTTTTACCTTTCTGTTTGTCACTATGCTTTAGTTTAGAGGGATGATTATTACCGTAGATATCAGAGAACGATTGATATAGAGACAGGTAATTTGCGTACATGAAATAAAAGCAAGATTAATTGCAATCACAACCAAAATGGAAATGTATTCTCAACAAAGAGATTCTGGTATGTGGTTTCAAAGGGATTTAATGGTACTTAAAGGTACTTCAAGTCCATACTTTATTTGCACATCTGGTGAGAGTACATTAGTCATCTTCCTAATAAGAAGTTTAACACCTAGGGAAAGAAAATAAGAGGATCATCTTTGAATTAGTAGTAATTTACCTCTAAGGCCAGTGATGAAGCAGTTTAATTTATGTTTCCATTAATGGAGCAATTTTCTTGTCAAAGATTTCATAATGGACTCTACAGCTTTAATATGGACCAGCTGTGCAAATTCACACACGATAATATTATTATGCAAATACCCACTATTGTAGTACCATATACGATGTACATGCTTTGTCAACCTCTCCCGTGCATGAAGCTAACGAATCACAATTGATATTGCTATTCAAGGCGTTAGTACCAAGAAATTGAAAGCGTGTGAAACTAATTTACTCGTTTGAATAAGTGTATAATTCTCAGAAGTGCTTGGTTGTAAATGGGCAAATTGAAGTGGATATATGCACTGTACATCCTATTCCTAAGTATATAATTGAATATTATTAGAAAAGTCTGTTGCTGGAGTAGCGTACGTGGTATGGTTGGTTAATGTGAATAATGGAGGGGGTGGGTGTGGAGCTTTCACACTACCTATACCTTTTATCCTGTCATTTTCAATAGAATCAAAGTACCGTTAAATCCCTTTGCACGCAGTGTTCTTCCTTTTTTTTTCTTCCTGGTATGTAATCGTAGTTGAGAACCCTCTCTTCATATTCGTTCTGCATGTGGAAATTGGGAGGGCGTTGTCGGGTTGGAAAAGAGAAAGAACCAAGCCTGTTACACGCTTTAATGGGAGAGGTGAGTGCTGTAGCGTGTATGAGAGATGCATACAATCGAGCCTGCACACAATCCCTGTTAGTTATGCGTGCACGCTTTCAGAAATGCAAATATTAATGCTGACTTTTTTCTTTTTTTTTAAGCTTTTTTATTATTTTTTCTCTCTATTTCTCTTCTCACTTCTGAGTCAGGGTCGCATATAACCTTGGGTACATATTAGGATATGCATGAATGAATGCGATGTGCTTGGTTGGTCTATCCATGGACTATCACGCCAGGTTATTTGCATATCAAGGCTGCTGGTACTGCAGCCATATTAGCTCGATGTACATGTGCAATGGTCCATAGGTGGAGTAAATCATCCCCCATGCATGCATGCGGGCCTGTCTTTGATGATGAAGGACTTTAATGCAGGTGATAGTTTGAGTGCCATGTTGGACAAGCAAGATTGATGACCTTCTCTGTCTAGCTGAGTACAAGGTTTATTTTCCTGGACAGAATGATACTACCTTTCATTATACTGATATCCGTCGTTGCCATTCTTTATTACGTATCCTTTATTACAAAAACTGAAATTCATGTATATATTTATCATCTATACTGTACCATTGGTTTCTAATAAAAACATTACTTAATGTTTACTGTATAGGGCTATAGGCCCCATTGTTTTTACATCGTTCGTCTAATATGACGATGTAGTGTGAGCCCATTTTAGTGATATGTTATGTTAAATGTAATACTCATGCTGTACATTCTACTGAATTATCCGGTTACAACATGTGCATTCCTGTTCATTCAAATATCCTGTAGCAATGAAATAACTTGTCATTATTAGCCTTAACCTTTACAATTAAGCTTATTGGAATAACCTTACATATATTTTATGAAAACTTTGACCTAAAGTTACCGGTATAGGTGGAACTACTGCATACTTAAAAGTCATTTGCTCTCTGTCTCTCTGACAATGGTGATATGTATTATGTACATGCAGCTTATTGACTATGTATAAGGCCATGGTCGCTTTTCGCGGACATTATTTTTAAAAATTAACAGCTAATAGATTTATTCATGCTAATTAAACTTTGTGTGGAACTTGGAAAGAAATTTCACTTATATTGCAACTTTGCAAGCCGAAATAATATCGTGGCAGTGCAAGAGACCTTGGGAAGTTAGGTGATCATGAACATAAAACCAAAATTTGGAAGAAAAAGGGAAATCCTAATATTTTAATTGCGTTATGTTATGTGTTTGTCAGCTAATACTAATTAAACATGATATATCAGGATAGTTGATTCAGGAGTAGACAAGTAATCAGACATAATTTGACACACCGTTTCCTGGTATATCATTCAGTATTTGTACACGCCCGTTGAGTTCCATGGTACAACCATGGAGATCTCTCTTATAGCTCCATGGTACAACCAATGTTTTAAATGTACGGTTGTATGACCGTGTGTCTCCTTTGGGGAAAATATAATGATTGAAAATCAATTACGCATAGCAAACTCTCCTGGTCTTTCAATCATGTTGTTTGGGTCAAGAACGTGAGGAGGTCGTATCATCAGTTTACAAACCACTCCAATTTATTCGCCTTTAATTAGTACCACGTGACCTCGAGTTAATAATGTCACATGACTTGGAAGCAGCTGTTCTGAAAACAGAAGTCAGCCTTTTAATCAATGGTAGTCACGTGTCGTAGTATGAGCAACATCATGATTGATACTACGACTACTTTCTATTTTCTGTTATTTTGATAAACGAAAATGTGCAACAGATTTTTTTTAAAGATAGTAGTGTACTGTGTAGTTGTCTAAGATTAAACGCACGAAATTTGTGCACGTTTATCTATCATGGGGGTACATTTCTAACCGATTTAAAATATATCATGAGTTGGTGCTTTAAACATTGTAATTTCAGAACCATTAAAAAGTTTATAACGCAATTTTATGACAACAAAGTCCATGATGTGGAGTTTAACTAGTACCACACAGCGATTGTAAATTGCTGTGTCTTCGAGGTTTCGATATTCCTTAGACCTATTTAGGTGTCACGTTATCTGGCAAACTGCAACATGATCTTACGAATCACACTAATTTGAATGAGTGGGACCATGGCCTGAAGGAAATGTCTATGGTCAAAAGGGTATCCTTTGATGTGACGGTGAACAACTCTCCAGGGACAAGATGGTTATGGACATGCTTCAACTTTGAGTATTGTAGACCTTCAAAGATATGTCCCAGGGAGGACGCCATGTTGCTCCATCCGATAGAGTACTGTCTTCCGATGTGACGTAGAGTAGTCCTTCAAGGAATTTAAATAGGTTATTAACATGCCCCCTTCTTCAAGGTTCGTGGAATGAGGTGTCGTATCCATTCATACGCTTTTTAAGACGACATAGGGAGAAGAATAAATATTTTGGTTTAAGGGCCGTAAATTATACATTAATGCCGTATTCAATTTCATACTTCTATCTGTTCCACGCCTTCTCAAAATGTTATTTGATGCACGTCTTTCATGAGATACGGCCCTTCCAACCCCAAATTGTATACATTGTAATATGTTTTTTTATCTAGTTGTGGCTATTATTTTTCTTTCACAAATTTAATTGAAATGCGATTGGTCTACCGCAACATAATATGGAATAGAAGCGTTAACATAAAAAGTTATCCATGCGCTTTTAAATATGTTAACTGTTACCTAAGCCGCTTAAGAGACGCCATATTTAAAACATTAAACAGTATAATTAGAAAGATTTTGAATGGGATCAGTTGACTGCATCAATGCACGGAAGAGACGAGAGATAGACTTGAATAATGTATGAAATAATATCCTGTTCTGGTCTTGTGTTAATGGATTTAGTTCTTCAGCGTTTCCTTGTTGAAATGCTCTGAGAGGAACCTAATTATCATGAACGACAATACAACACTTGTCACACTCGTCAAGCCCCAAGTACCATCTTCAAAAATTTCCGCGTTAATATTTGAAAGCTAAATGAGGCGATGTATGTATAATCACTCTGAGGCAGAAGTGAGGCATGTCAGAGGCTGTTTTCAAATCGTTTTCAAGTCACGACTGTGTTTGTATGTCACTTAAAAGGCTTGCTTGTGTACTGCATAATTCGTAAAAGCCTTGGGTACCTGCATTATTCAGAAAAGAGGAATTCTATACTCTAACATAAAGTACGTGAGTATCCTATGATATTGCCATTATAAATCTTCGTGGATTTTGTACCTTGATCAAAATGAGGATTCGTGCAATGGATAGACGTGGAGATAAGTATGTACATGTATTGTTGTATGAAGCTAAAATGGTGTTTGATGTATCGTCTTACATGTATTCATGTCGGGCAGGTAGAATGTGTTAAACCAGATCTGTTGTATTTGGCATATTCAACATTATGATATTGTAAATGGTGTCGTGTTATTGTTTTGTATTCCGTTCTTACGATAAATGGATTTTAATTGGTCCGTTGGATGGGCGCGTAAAGTTTTCACTCCAGATTTCACAACGTAGTCTTGTCTGCTATGAAAACTTCCTCTTGGTATGTTTGTATCATTCAGTTTACATGAGGTCTAAACCAATATTCATCTGAATAAAAATAACGAAATACAGCTTGCAAAACAAAATGTCCTAGTCGTCGTGTCCCATCCTAGCTAGTTGGTGGGCTAAATAAGATTGGCGGCTACTGATAACATTCGTGAGTAGAATCAATATAGCTTCGTCATTAATTATCTACAACACAAAAGACTCGTGGATACCACGAAAGGATCGACTGTTAGCGTAGGAGGTGCCTCGCGATTAGATTAGATCGACTTATTACCTGATAAACATGTTTATCGTATGCACAATAATTAGGTTTGAAAGCAAGTTCCTTTTCTCTCGTTCAAATACCGCAAGACAAGACAACACAAAGTCGCTAGGTCTGTTGATTCTGCTACCTGGCTAATTCGGTGAAGGCACTATTGCAACTGCTAAAACCGTAAGGACGCCAGAGTCGCTAGGAAAAATTGAATATCAAGTGTACCTCATATATATGTTTGGATACTTTAAATGGTGAAAACATAGTCCGTTACCATTATCATGATTTATGTTAGTGCTCGAACGAAATCCTGATAATTCTATGGATTTCAATGCATTCTTGATAAGCTGAAATATCTTCCAATTTGTTTTTCATGAAGCATCTTTCTGCCAGTGACATGAATCAGCCCAAATATTCCTATTGGTATGAATTTAGGTTAGGAAGGAGAACCATGAGATATAAGCTTGATGTTGAGACAGCCTCTTTAGAATATTGATCCTCTGTCCTCAGGACGTCATCGGGTAGGAATCGATTGTTCGACTCCCAGAAGAACCAACCGTTTATGCTTTTATCGATTATCATATTATTCCTGTAATATCATCAGCTGTATGGAAGTCTAGAATGATCAACTCAACGTCTATTGATTGGCTTAATGGTACATGTTCTTCAAATGGCGTCGTCTCGGAAAGTTGCATCAAATGACGGTTGAAGAGTGATGACCATGTTTTGCGTTCGCATCTAGAAAATCTACTTCTTTTATCATGATGCATGCTAAGAGTTCCGGCAAACTTAAAGGTAAAGACCAGTATTGGAAACGCCCCAATTTCAAAAAATGAAATGGAAGCTCTCATTACCAATCATGTAAAAGAATATGTTTTGACTAATACATGATGATAAAAAATTTGCCGGGAAACCGCCTACTAATTCATATATTTGGTAAATTTGTTTCTCTCATGGTCTGTGAGAGATATAGGGTAGTCCCATATACATCTTTCTGTGTATAGTGCTTGTAACTTTACGAAGAATGGGCGAAATTTCTTATCATTTTGATGATTCCAGAACCTTGCAGATGCTAGATGCTAGATGATCAACCTTTTCTGATCGATTCCACAACGTTTCTTTCACAATGCAATCGCATGACCATAACTGGTCTTTACCTTTAATACAAAAAGAAAACTCTGTTTGGTATTACTAGTCCCTGTATTCAAACGTACCTCATACATGGTTATATAACGTATTCCAGTCTCCTCTTCATTACAAGATGATATGGCTGTTTATGAGATTGACTTCGCTCGATACCTGAATAAAGATATAGCAAACACTGCTTTCAACGGATTTTTGTTTGGAACGAATACCACACTTGCAGATCGGGTGAGCGTTAGGAGTTATTAAAACGACCGTAAATTGAAGCAGCCATCGAGGCATTTGAAATGAAAACCAGACAAAGAAGATGCACTCGAGGTGGCTTGGAGAGGAAGCTAACATCCCCTGTAACATAAACATATCAACCGTATGGAGAGATCAATCATGGTCATTGAAGATTGTCCTGCTCCATTTAAATCTCCCACTGCTTGGGCATATATATAGAGATGGACAGTGATACTCCTAGCAAGTTACAAAAATCCCACCTTCAGTTTATGAATCATTTTATTGTAGTGGGTTTATGAAATGTGGCTCATCTGTTTGGTTTTGAATCCATTGGTTCTTCAGAGCATTTAACCCTCTACAGAACCCATCTGATGTGCCCATACGGTGCCAGTTAAAGTTTTTTTAACAGATTAAGAAATAAGTGAGTTATCATGCTTTCCGTTGTTTGAGAACTTCATTTGATGTTGGGGGGGGGGTAACTACATGAATTTCCTCTTGTTTTGTATACTAACATTCGTGTATGAGTATGTCAAAAAAACTTGCTAGAAAAATTATTTACGTGTATCTAAATCTTGATTTCTATCATTTTAAGTTGATCCAAAGGTTGCATCCTTCGAAATCATGCTGTGATGTGTGATAGAAAACCTTTGCCTTCTTGTTAATCCGGCTAGAACGTTGGCAGGGAATTCATTATCCGACATGGAGTCTACCCTTCACAGGAAGTGCAAACTTTTTGATCCGTTGTGTTTCTGTAAAGAAGGCGTACATGTCTTTGTGCTCCAGTTACTGTACAAGAGATTCGAAGTGTTGTTCAAGACACTTCACATTTAATTTCAGATGGAGTTTTTCCTTGTCTTGATACATTCTGCCGTTCTTCTTAACACCTATCACACCGTTTCCCCAAAACCTACTGATGTATTCTAAGAATAGAGAAGAGACATCGCTGTCATGGCAACATGAGGAGATTGGCGCACTTCAGCTCTGAGAGGGAAACTGTGCTCAACACTTCTTGCTCAAGTGTCTTCTGTACAAGTCGTCTCGATGTCCATGCTTTTGCGTTTGTACTGCAGACTCCACTCTCGGAAGTCTCCATGAAATATTGTCATTGATTCTTTCGTTTTCATGTACATGGCCGACATGATTACACATAAATCAAGGATTGAGTGTCCGCTGTCCAGTGTTATATGTCGTATTAGCATCCAAAGAAATAAGGTTTGATCATTTTAACAGAGAGAATTCAAATCATTTTTACGGATAAGTAACAAAATGAAAATGTAATCTCATGAATTAAAGAATTATACCTGTTGGCGCTAATATTTCTATCTTATGCTTTTTCTTTGAACCCCATCCCCATTATCCAGGTATGTTCTACGTCAGAATGGGATTACCAGGGTACAGTATGAATAATCACATGCGTAGCACTGATGACGCTTACGAGATAACACAGCAACAATACTTTGACAAATGACATTGTGCTTTCCAGTTAGTAGATGGAAATGATAGAAGAATCAGATTTGTACAAATACAATTTCCTCGTGCACTCAACAAGATTAACTTTCTGTTGGAATTTACATTGATATTCATCAATACCTTGTTACTGCCTGTGTGAATATTTATGAATTTCTTTAGGAGAGGCAAATGTATTGTTCAGTATCGTTTGCCTGTCGTGTTTTTGTAAGAGAGGTAATCAGCACAACGAGAAGTTCATATTCCGTGACGGGATGAGGAGGAAACGAGTTATCTCGGTGATGAATCGAGTTGATCTTAACAATTGTGACTGGATACAACAGATCGTGTCGGCAAATTCGTCATCAGCTCCTTCAGAAGGAAAATCATATTTGTCTTTTATCTTTCCTTATCATTCTCTTGCCCGGCCGAATACTATGTTATTGAAATTGCGCTGGACGGAGAACTGATAAGGGCTTATATAAGACACGTGGCACCGAGCACATCATGCTGACTGACACAATAGCTACATCATGGAGCACATCTCATCAGGGACACTACACTACGTCATCACATGGAAACATTAAAAGACAGCGTAAAATTACAATTAATGCTCGTTTGCTGTTAAAAGAGGGAATTTTTTTTTATATTTGTTACTTCCAGACGTTGTCCAATTTTGGAATAAAATATATTGATGAAATAGCCAAAATCAATTAAGTTTTTGAATATGCTCTTTGTTGTGCGACAGCTTGAGAGAATCGTATGTTATACCCTAGCTGAGCTTAACATGTACATTTGTAGTCTTATGATCAATCATGTGAGATACAAATAAAACATTGTAGCTCAGAAACCCAGACAGATGCATTAGTGAGATTATTTATTAAGCCTTTGTTGCTGCTTAAACATTGGAAACTGTTAAATTATATCCTACACAGTCGTTACATAATTCAACCACCTATTGCCTCGACTTTGATTCACCATACAACGAGGCGAGGCATAAAATGCACTTAAATGGCGAATTAAATTGGGAGGCACTGGTACTTTGCAATTCAAATATTTGCTCAGAGGATTGGCATGGTAGCTCTAATTAACTCAAAAAGCTTTTTTCAATCATCTAAACTATAATCTGACAAGACAAAAGGATGAAGTTCTCCTCTAGTGTTTGCCTGGCACTTAACCGACGCAGTATGCTGTGTATACCCTGAATTATTTGTATCAAGGCTCCAGTTATCTTCATTTCTATGAAATTTACTGAAATATTTATTCTATTATCAAAGATGATGATTGTACATATCCCTTCCCGCTTATTAAATACAGTGAGCACCTTAATACCATTTCAGAGGGCAGCATTACCTATCATGTACCACCTATACTTTTTTGTTAATACACAAACACCAGCAAACCTACTCTCATGCACACCCACGCCCACACACCTGCTCCCACTGTATAAGACATACGTCGACGCATCATATAAAGGCTATTAAAGTCCACTCCAAAAATAATTTGCTTTTCATAGATGCAGAAAAACAAGAGAAACGGAGCAAAACAAATTTGGGTAAAATCCGATTACTAATGTTATGAATTTTTGAAAAACAATGGAAATCACTACACAAATTGCCAACTTGGTTATCAGTTTGTGACATCATTGCCTCACTTATTTATCGATTGCTTTATTTATCTTTTTCCCATTAATTTCCCTTTTTATCCCCGAAAACTTGATTTCCCCATGCCTGTCCCCGGGTTATATGATTTGTATCATATTGCGTGCATGACATATCACATTATCTTTAGTGAACTTTGAAGAATATATACTATTTTCTGAATATTGTACATGTATGTTCATAATCATTGATTTTTATATAAATAAATTAGATAGTTTATCAAAATTCCCATTTTTCATGATTTACTCCATTTAAGTGCATCCACACAAAACATATTACTTTCAATATAACTCTGATGCTGGTGTGAGGAAATACGATTCTTAGGGGGGAAATGGGAATGTGGTATTATCAATATAATGAAAACAAATTATTAGTGAATAGTGAGGCAATGACGTCACAGACTCATGAGTGAGTTGCCAATTTGTCTTGTGATTTGCAAAGTTTTTTATGTCATTAAAAATTCATAACTTTCTATAAGCTATCCGATTTTGCTCAATTTTTTTGGATTGGTTTGTCTGATTTTTATGCTTCTATTGAAAGTAATTTTGTTTAAAGTGGACTTGCCGTTTTATAATTTTGTCCGTATATTTGCTGTGTAATGTCTTTTTTAATTTCATTGCTTCCCCCATCACTAATACTGGATTTTCAGTGCATAAGTATTCCTTACTTGACATGAGAAAGAATCTGTCCAGAATGGTAAAGCTAGCAAGTCATTCAAGAAATCTAACACCAACTAGAATATTTTCTTTCAAAACCTGTCAATTTTCAGTCCGCGTTTGCTCTGTGAGTTTGCCGAACTGTCATAAAAGGATGGTGTATGCGATATAGCCGTCCTACCATACTATAGTACATGTATAGCCTTCGGTATGGAAAGTTCCAAAAGATTTCTTTATTAATTAGTGTGTATACAGATCAATTGTCAAATTGGACAACTGAGACGTACTTTTAAAAACCACTTGTAAGTTCTAAATTTCATGATACTATTTTTTAGTAATGTACTAATAACTGAAATTCAATATTCTATTTGACATTACTAGAAATAAAGTAATCAATTTTGCGGCCATTAGTTTCTAGGTTCTTATCGTACTTATGAAATACAAAATGTTTAAGAGCTGTTCAGAATCTATGGTCATGTGTTTTGTTGATGTTGTTTGTGCTATTACATTTCAATTGAAATTGAAGAACGAGTGATTTTCTCATTCCTATTATTGTCCATTTTTGCACGTGTTCATCTGGGTAACTAAAGTCTAAGAACCCCCTCCCGCCCCCCCCCCAGATTTTGAGCAACGTGATAAAATGTTGTGCTTGTCATGGGATAGGATTTGGATGGTAATTGGATGATTACCAGATTTAATCAAAACGAATCATATTCACCAAAGATTGGAAAAATATTGCATACATCACGTGTCCTGGCTATGTTCTAGAATCCTATAGGTGGCGTTTCCGTTTCATTCACAAGACTTTCAGGAATATTTTTAGTAGCAGCCAACTTCATTTTATGTCGGTTATGTTCTAATATGATAATATTTCCAACAAAAGATCAATATCTTACTTAATTTTCCTTGTTCAATACTATTTGCGTCTGGTTTTCTACATGAAATTGTTTTTCTCTTCCTTAAAATAGACAGATTCCTACGAGGTTCTTTATTAGGTACTTGATGAGGCTTAAGAGAGACGCCATCCATTTCTTTCCTGTCACATGGAGTTCTCTCTGAGATGTCTCTTCATATGATCTATATATAGCAAGAATATTTTGTGATTAATTTGTTTTCGGAAATTCACTGCTTCATGATCATTATCACCCCGGTGTGTGTCTTTTAAAAAACGGATGTTTCACATTGCGAAAAATGAATGGGTATCAAAGTCATCGCCATTAAAAAATAATGAGATTGTAAAATAAAAGTATATAAAGGCAACGATGCTTCCTCAATGTACTTAAACGAATAAAGGAAGTAATCTGTAGCCATGACAAAATGTATTCAGAAGTCACTTTGTACACTGCACATTATCATTCAGACACGAACTCTGTGTATTCGGTACTTGTTACATCATTCATGCCTATTTTCTTCTTCTTTTTAAAGGGGAGAGGAATTTGATGAAGTTGATAATTAAATAATCCACAATCTGAAATTCACTCTCAGGCAATCTCATAAATATTCACATTGCACGAAGCCTTTTCATTATAACTGCTCTCCCCCCCCCCCCCCTTGTCACATTCCATATCTTTCACACATCCTCTCTGTATTTTTCGATGTTTTTATGTCGCTTTCGTGAAAAAGACTGAGCCATGTACTAGTTGTTTAATCTCTCATTTCATATTTTGTCATGACTTGTTAGCCGGTTGATCTTTTTGAAATTGAATCTTACAGAAGTGATACTAGTACATGTGGTCGGGAAAACAGAACATTACCATCATGAGAGTTGCGACTTTCAGAACATCTGGGTATGAGCTAATCTTCGATACATCGCTCACAACATAATTATATACATGTCCATGTCCATATATATATATATATACGCTTACATTGTATCATTCACATTTCTTATCACGTTCTCCGTCTATTTTTCTCTCTCTTAATCGATATGTAACGGCGTTGTTTCAGATCGATATGATGTCCTCGCCTGACACATGTGTGACATCCCCGTCCATCTCGCTCCTTCCCTATCTCTGGTTCATCCACTTATTTAAAATCACCACAGTCATACGACCTTTTCTGATGGCACTGGATCGTTGGGAGTGTCGTCTGACTGCCCTTGACTTTTTGAAACTCGTACGGATAAAGCGATACCCAAGCCTCACACGCCCTGTTTGCATTTTGCATGAAATATTCGATATGAGGAAAAAGCTCCGTACACTCTGAGGCAACAATAAATCATTATTATGCCGATTACTCAAATTAACTTTTCATTCCATACCTTACACTTCTGGGCAAATTTGATATTCAGTCATCATGTTTATGTGGGAGGTTAAGGGGAGGGATGGGCAAGAAAAGGTACGATTTATGCTAACACCTCAAATAATAGTCAACAAACAACACAATTACATAGCAGAAGCAATGTGCAAAAACGCACTCAATCTACAAAGGGCCAACATTAAATTATCAGTTTTATCAATTTTAGTCATGTGCCGTCATGCCCCAGATTTTCGGGACGCGTTTTTTGTCTCTGCGTAATTCAAAAGTGCTCAAAATATGAATAATCGTCAATTCTCATAGTCCACCTCGTCCCATTCTGTCTTGTCTTTTCACAAATCCTTCATAACTCATAATAAGCTTCTTTGAGTTCACTGTCTCGGTTCCACTATTAACATACTGTATACAGTACAAGGCTATGGGATATACATGCACGCTAAAGGGGCTTGGTAACTTAGTTCGGACGATATGAAATGGTGCTAAAGTAGTGACTTAAATGCTTGGTGTACAATTGAAGATGATCGGAAAGTTGGAGTGAATTTAGTGAAAACAGACCATTATTAATGATAAACATTGAGAAAACTGATCTGATCGATTTCTGAATACTCCCAGCTATATTATTGTAATTAAATTAAATTTTAGGTGAATTTTAATCGTCACAAAGCAATGAATTGGCTCTATATACCATTCAAAACATCCAAGTGTTGGCAGATTTTAAAATCCTGTTGTGTGTGTTATTTCATTGGAGAAAACGGTTGGGAAAATTCAAAATTGGTTGGGAGAATTTATTGTTTGAGGGTGTTGCACAGTGATGCTTCAAAGCAAACCATAAATATCTTTTTGTTTTGAGAATTGTTTTCAGGATTTTTTGCATGTTGGAGGGTAAGTACAGTAGAAGGAATATAAAAGTATAATTTCTTATA